CAAGGTATAGATTTATAAAAATGGGTTAATTTAAGATAAAAGAACAGTTAGCAAGAAGCCTGCCACGGCCATACAGTTTATAAGTGATACAAGCGTCTGAGTGATTATTTTATAAGTGGATTGTGGGACTGCGGGGTTTGGGGAACCTGGAGAGAAGCCCTCCAGCAACAGACGTTCTAATCTGGTGTGATAAGGCAACTATTGTGGGGTCACAGCACCCCGCCCTTCAGGAGGCCCTGTTTGTTTCCTTGCACATGGTGTGGTCATCTGGCTATGCTCTCCCTTGTCACCTGTCTTCCCATCACAGCCCCTATTTCTCAGTAACTCTAAGTCCCATAACTCTGACACTTCTGGCCCCTTCTTACCTGGACTTCTGTGATCTGGTAGGTGCAGTGCATTGCACTCACTGTACTATACTAATGGACCAAGACTGTGCAACATTCATTTGAGATATGAAAAGATCAAAAGGAGAAAATCACTAAAGAAAGTGAAGAGTCTGAATAGGAAAATATAACACTAAATGGAGAGAAACCATGAGAAGGAACCAAATAGCATTGAGGAGTTAAGAAGTATTTAACTTAGCCCAATGGACAGGATTCACAGAGGATTTAGCAGGTTACATAAATTATCTAAAATCATGGAAATAGATACCATAACATCACTCAGTCAGCACTGCAGGGGCAGGAGTACAATAAAGAGAAGAAATTGAAGAATTTGAAGTGTAGTGGCAAGATTATTGGGAAAAAAAACTACTGTGTAACACCGTCCTCATTTATTAAAGTACTCAAACCATAAATCCAGCAAACTGAACTCATTCAATGTGAGATAAACTCAGAGAGACTCACACCAGTGCACACTAGAATCCAACAGACAAAGAGGAGTAACGGAGAACCCTGAGAGCAGCCTGGAGCATGACTCATCTCATCCTGCTAATGATGTGAACACAGCTCTTATCAGAAATGTCAACATCCAGGAGGCAATGAGACAGTGTGTGTATTCTTAATTCTAAAAGAAAAAAAATCACATACAGAATTGAAGTAAAACCAAGGATTCCACACATGGCAACCCTATGAGGCCAACACAAGAGTGAAATCATGCTGTTCCTAGTTGAAAATCTGAGTTTATTACAATGATACCTGGCCTGCAGGAAATGTTAATGGCTTCTCTTGGGTTGAACTAAAGGATCCCAGATAATAATGCCTAGTTTAAAAGACAATACAACTCTGACTGTTTGGTGAATTTTAAAATTTCATAAGGCATCCTGAGTTCCCAGCTTCCATTTAGCTGTCGGGTAATGGTGGCTCTAATCTTCTACCTTGTAGTTTTCATTAATAGCCTTAGGGAAGACCATACACCTAGAGCTGCCATGAGGGCAGTGTGTAATGGAACAATGTTGCTCTTCTCCACCTTACTGTCTAAATATTCAATCATCTCTCACAGTAGTGCCTTTTTCTGGGGAAGAGAGTTTTCACACTTGAATTTTAGTGGGTATTTCAGACTCAAAGTGTTGGTTATGCCGTGGCGCTGCCCCTCGTGGCTGGTCGCCGCCCGCAGCGACTATGCCTGTGGAGCAGCGTGCTGATTAAAAGAATCATAGCCATGATTACCTTTTTAGAGTTTTATTGGGGGGAGAAGGGAGAAAGAGAGAGAGAGAGAGAGAGAGAGAGAGAGAGAGAGAGAGAGAGAAACAGAGACAGAGAGACACAAAAGGGGGGGTGAGAGGGGAGCCGATGGGAGGAAGGAGCAGAGAGGAGAGGGCACAGAGAGCCCACAAAGGGCTCACCCTCTTTTTAGGCTGGGAAGCCATCGAAGGCTGATGACATAATTAAGGATCAAATCCTTACACAAAGTAAAACGTTTGTGTTAGAAAACTTCCCAGTACTAAAGCAAATTCTAAGATAAATTAATCAGTAATACCAGAAGCTGCAGTAAAGGTCACAGTTTAGAATTTTCAATCCACTGGCTGTCCTGTGGCTTTGGAGCTTGTAGGGAGACAGACATCATGGTAGGGCAAGAGCAGTAAAGCAAAGCAGGCCTGGACCATGACTAAATGAACAGAGCAGGAACACAATCTCCTTCATTGAGCTAGCCCCCTGCAATGTTAGCGCATCTCTTGGTGTTGTCTTTGTTAACATCATAACTGAGCAAGTAGTATTTATACATTTAGAAATGTGTGTGTGTGTGAGTGTCTGTGTGTGTGAGTGTCTGTGTCTGTATGTTTGTCGTTGAAAGAGAGACACAGAGACAGAAAGGCAGAGGCAGAGATACAGAGAGAAATAACTTGAAAGAAACAGAGGCCATAAATTTGAGGAAGAGAGAGCAGGGAAGTGATGTAATTATATATTAATTTTAGAATATTTAAAAAATGAAAAGCTTCAGGAAGTGCAAAAATCATCAGAAGGACTCATCTCTTACTGTAGTCTGAGGTGCAGTTCGAGTGTAACGGGGACATTGTAAAAGGTAGACGTCTGTGAGGTTACATGACATGACATCTGAGCCAAAGTGGGAGCCTGAGGACTACAAACATAGACCTCACACCAGGGAGTTTTCTTCATGGCCAAGGAAGGAACTGAGGACAAACAACCTTTCGGAGTCATGAACAGGGACCAGAGTGTCAATAATCCTACTTGCCACAAGTATAAGGAAAATAAAGCTCGCTGGAGAAGATCAGGAAGATCAGGGAAGTGTCGAGACCTGTTATACATGAGTTGCTTTTGCTGTACATGTCAAAGCCATAAATCCAGTACCTCATAATGTGACTGTATTTGGAACAGGGTCTTTTGTTTGTTTGGTTGGGTTTTTTTTTGTTTGTTTTGTTTTGTTTTTTGAGACAGGGTTTCTCTGTGTAGCTTTGCGCCTTTCCTGGAACTCGCTTTGGAGACCAGGCTGGCCTC